ACAGTGATAATAAAGTTGTGTTTTCGTACAAGTGATAAAGTTGCATTATTTAAATCTTTATTGTGCGTAAAGCAATACACTACAACATTTCTAGTCTAAGCTAGTTTGCAGTGGCTGTCCCTGTATGTGCTGTACATTACAATATACATTATACATTATAAAATACTAATAATGATGGAGCTGCTGAAATGTTGTTGGTCAAATGTTTTATTTTAGCTTTAAAGTATGAAGACTTTGACTAATAAGAGGCTAAGGTCCATTTAGCAGTAACTGAATGTTGGACAAGTGAGTCATTACCTGAATGTGTGAGATCTCTGAGTGAGGAAGAGGAGGAGTTTTTAGATGATGAAGAGTCAGAGCGGCTGCTGCTGGTTGAGTCAGCCATTTTCTTCTCCTTCTTGGTCTTCTTCTTCTGTGTGTGGAGCTGAAGTCTCTCTGCTCAGTCTGACTCTCAGTCCGAGCTGCTGCTGGACGTCACCAAAGGGACGGCCTTACAGCAAAGGGGCATGTCCACAGGTCAGAGGTCGTTGTAAATTAAACTTCAAATCTTTTTCTGTTGTTTTTTTACATTTTATTAAAGTACACAGAGTTTATAATGTGATTATATCCGCCTGTGTACTTTATACTTCTATTACTTTTTACTGCAGTACAAGTATGTGACAGAAGATACATTCATAAACAACAGAAATAAAACAAATGATACTATATATAACATCTAATAATATAATATCAACATTTAGAAAAGCAAAGAGAAACAGAAACTAAAACATTAGAAATTGTAATCACTAAAAATAATGGAGGAATGTTTTCTCTAACAGGGAGAGGATGAACCAGAACCACATTCGAATCTGAACCACATCAGAACCAAAACCAAGTAGAAAATATAAAAAGCCAAATCCACCATGATAATAATAATAGAATAATAATAAAAATTATTTTAATAATTATAATAATAATCAACAGTCAGATGAGTCATGTATAAATCTTTATGGAGTGTCAGATGAACAAACAGGAAGTAATAATCAATAATAATTACACAAACAGCTGAATAAAACCAAGTGAGAGAAAGGCTTCAGACGTTTGCACGGGGAGAGGGCGAGTGACTATCACTGTGAACAGAGAGAGAGAGACAGTGAGCGAGAGAGAGAGAGACAGACAGACAGACAGACAAAGAGACAGAGAGAGAGGATGTAGGAATGTCTGATGTTTTTCACATTTCTTCTTATATAAAAAGGGTCTCGAGCAAACATGGCAACCGACCTGGTTTAACAGCAGGTACCAGCAGTTCACCGGAGAGAGCAGGTTCTGATCCTTTCTGGAGGAGAGAAGAGATTCTTTAAATTAAGAGAGAAAACATCCAGCCAGAGTTTGGCTTGTCCCTTCTGGGCTACTGTAGAAACATGGCAGTTAAACATGGCGGACTCTGTACAAGAGGACCCGCTACCTCTGTAGATAAAAACTTCTCATTCTAAAGTAACAAAAGATTCTTATTTTCAAGTAATTAGATACTAACAAATGTGTAAATAGGCAACTGGAGCTTCAACGATTAGTCAGTTAATCAATTAGTCATCCATTAAATTAATTAACAATTATTGACATTTTTTATGGAAAAAAAAATCCAAATTCTCAGATTTTTGCTGCTTAAATGAGATTATTTTGTGGTTTCTTTGGTCCTCTATCTCTGGGTTGTGGACAAAACACGACATTTGGGAAACATTTTTACCATTTTCTGGCTTTTTTTTGGAACAAACGACTTATTTAATAATAATAATAATAATAATTAGTTGCAGCCTTGTTTGCTAACACATTCACAATATAAACTGTCATTGTTTCCTTAAGTGGCCAAAAAATAATCAATTAATGGTGCTTTAAAGGACACTGGACCATTAAGTTTGTATTTGACTCCGGGAGTTGAAGCTAGTTAGCTTAGATTAATAAAGGTTAAATGCTTTTCCACTTTTGACCCAAGCGGATAAATGGTGACTCGTAGGCGTACTTGTATTGCTGATGGTCTTTCGTGCTGCGCGTTTTGGCCATGAACCTCTCGGCGAGCTTCTCCAGGTTTCGGGAATATTCCGTTTCGATCTCGGCCTTCTTCCTGAAGAAGTCCTGCAGGTCCTGAAGCAGCTGAACTCGCATCTCGGTCTGCTGCTCCAGACATCGCTGCTGCTCCACCAACTGGGCCCGCACATCTACACACACACACACACACACACAGATGGATGTCATTGGAAATTAGACATTCGGGCAATTTGTTTATCCATGCCAGCAAAGTAACTGGAATATTTTCGGAGGCAGTGTTCTGACTCCCATTAATCTTTCATTTTACCTCCACAAAAGATGGCAGATCATATATTATTGCTTTCGTAGGAGTTCATTCATCTTGCTGTTGAAAAACACTACGGGGCATATTGTCAACGCCGGCACTCAGACGGGTTTTTGTATTTTCCCTGATAAGTTCTTAAAGACCAGAGCGTACCAAGCACAGGTTGCATGGTATGAAAAGTCATGAATATTTGATTATCTACAGTATTAGTAGTAAATTAGTTCAGTTTTACATCACATGTCAGGATGTAAGAATTTGTGTTTTAATACCTTTAAAGATGATTGTGATTTATAATAATTAGAATTTGCAGCCCCTAGAAGCAAGTTTTTGGTATTTTGGTGGAATTTGGGTCTTAAGGTTGAGAATAGACATCTTCTATCATCTATTGTGATTATTTTTGAGAGATATGATTCACGATTAGTGTGTGAATGATTATTTTTGCATCACTATTTTAATTGTCACTGAAAACATTGGGAATTTTTTTGTGTCAAACAAACATATTTTCTTACACCTGGAGATTTATAGAGCAAGGCACCTCTGCAGCACTACAGTACCTCATTATAACTCTGTTCTCTCACACATTTTACCTTCAACAGAAATTACAGCGTCTCTGATTTGGATATTGACATATTGCGATACGATACAGGGGTTACGATTCAATATATTGCGATATATAGCAATACTGTGAGCAACACAATATAAATTGTAATTTTTAAACGCAACACAATATGGATAAAATGTGAGTAAAGCAAAGCTTACAGTCTCTGTAACATCCAACATTATAGCCTCCAGTTCACATATTCAACACTGCTATCTATATTTCTTTAACACTGTTTGTTAGTGATTGTCAACCAATCAATATGTCGATTAATTGTGCAGCCTCGTGTCTATGAACCACACTGCTGCCACTTTAGTGATTTTATAGACAAGAACAAACTAAATATTTGAAGAAAAATGGCAGCAATAATAGAATAATGCTTCAAATGTAAATCATTTTAATGAATCACTGTCTAGCATTAACATTTGGAGTGTCGTGGTAGCTAAATTGTTACAGCGGCAACCTTTCCTGTCGGCCTCTTCACCGTCCCTGTAGTTTTATATGGTTAAAGCAGGACCACCGATAAATCAGTCCGCATTGATCTGGTGGCTCTTACAGCGTCCGTCTGTCCGCAGCTGCTTTATACTGTATGAAAAAAAGTCTCCTCTTCAGTTCATTAAATCCCTGCAGACATCTGAAGGCAGTGGGACACACACACGATGATAAATCTGCAGCCTCTCATTGGAGAAGTGCTGCGTCAGAGACTTTACACACACACACACACGAACACCCGTTATGTTTACCTTCATTAAATCACATGCTAATGACTCCAGACCGCTACAGAATAACCGCACGCACCTCTACACACATCAGACTGATGGGATGTAACTCGGTAAATTGGCTGTTCATGAAGGAGACGTCGGATTACAGCGACGTCGATCCCGCGTTTTGAAATAAACGCGCAAAAATACAGTTCAAGGAGTTCAAGTGCAACCTTTGGATCTTTCTGCACACAGGTATGAGGTGAGAAACAGTAGAATTAAAACTGAATGCAGATTTGTGGTCATCTGCATCATCCAGACAACAACCTGATTTTTCCAGAAGAAGCGGCGCTCCATTTGTCAGGCTGTCGACCATCGTGCTTCGCTGCGATTGGCTCGGCTGTTTTAGAGCGATGACAGCTGTTCGTAAACGCAGGTTGCCAAAGTTACGCCCCCTATCTGCGCTTTCACGTACTTTATGTTGATAAAAGAAGCTGCAGGGAAACTAGAATCAAAAACTAATAACCAAAGTTTGCACTGTGAGATTTGAGCCACATAAAGTACAAAGATTGTGACTCTAAATAGTTAAATGATGCTTGTAGCAGTTGCTACTGATGGATAGCTAAAGTTAGCTTTTCAGATGCTAACAGTAACACGTCTCTGACCCAGATCATACAGGTGATTATTTACAGACTCTTAGCTGAATGGATGAGCAATAACTGGCCACTGTGTTGGGTTCATTGATCCATTTGGACGGAGGGGAGACCAGCTAATCGATCAGCCTTATTTATGAAGGCATCACAAACCTCCAGGTTCAGGTAAGGTCACAAAATAATAATTAGTCTATAAAACAAATAAAATGAATATCTACAAACTAAAAACACATCACATTGCATTTACATTAATTGTTTCAGGACGTTTACCATGTTAATCATCTTAGCATTTGCTACTTAGCACAGAAACAAAACAAATTAGCTAAAACTGATGGTTTCGTGGGTCAGAAACCAAAGAAAATTTTGCTTAATGATGGCGGAAATCAACGAAGATAAATTTCCTGGCAATCCATCAAACACTTGTTGAGATATTTCTGTCTG